ACAAAATTGAAACAATCTGCTTAAAACTACACTATGACTTCATAGCAAAGCAAAATGCCAGATCAGTGGCACCTATGAACTTGGGAGATGCTTCAATAACAAGCCCAGTCCTTCTCAGGTTTTACCAGCCTGTGAACACAAGTGACAACCAGGATTCTCAAGCACAGCCAGGATCTCTAGGATGTGAGAAAACTCAATCAGGGAAGAAAATCCTGAGGAGATCTATCTATCACTTCAGACACCCATTGCTGACACCACTGTGTCCAGCAGCTACACTAGCGCTGCCTAAGGGAGAGCAGAGTTTCAGTATCTGTTCCTCCACATTTGCACCCCGCTGGTTTTGTAGACGTTTCATCCACCCTTTATTCTATAACAGCTGTTCTAGTAGAAATGAGAACTCTGTTGAGCCAGAGGTTTATAATGTGAAAACAGAAACTATTTAGTCTCTTCTGCTCTCAGTTTTACCAAATATCGTCATTGGTAGTCTACCATAAAGGACACTACATGTGTGATTTCTGAATAGCTCAGCTCACCACCACTCAGAGATCACTGACACCAAGACCCACTTTCCTGGTTTTCCACCTTCAGATGTCCTTCTTTTATTACCCATTCTGCTAATCACGTTGCCATGGGAGAAGGAAGTTGTGGGTTAACCTGACTGCATAAAACCAGCAGTCTATTGCATTTCCATTGTTTAATGGCTAAGAACTGAGAAAGAATCTCTATTCTAAGGAATGACTAAGCTGGAAGGGAGTTTAGGGGTTCACTCCAGCTATCGTCTATTTCAATCACTTTGTGTAGAAGACCAGGTCTGTTTTGTAATAACCTTATTTGTTGGGAAAAAACAACAACAAACCACAAAACAAAACCACCAAACAACAAATAGCTCAGGGGATGCTCCTTATTTTAGGGATAAAAGCTAGCCTGTTATATGTTATATTTAGAAGTCACTTAAAACCTGGCTTCTTTTATTCTGAGGTCTTCTCTTGATCACTTGTGAGACTCATATTTTCTATGAGAGAGTTATGTCTTATTTTAGCATAAGCTTTCAACTAAGACTCCTTTTGTCATGTAAGAAAGTCTAGCACCACAAGAAGGAGTTCCTATGAAGACTCACCAGCTATGATGTTGATCTGCAGAGAGAACAAACTACTACCTTACCCCTTCTCTCTGTCTCTAGCAAAGCAAAGAATGATCTGGTGTCAGGAAGGGGGAAAAGAGAAAATAGAAGCTTGCAAAAGCCACATGTTCCCTTTGCAAACACCTCTACAAGAAGGCTGTGAGCTGTGATGAGCAGAGTGCTAGCAGCTGTGGCAGGCAAGGCCGGGTGTTCTTGCAAGTGGCAGGCTCCAGCACATTTGTTGTTTATTTCTACTCACTGAGCTAAATCCCCATAGGGAAAGCACTGGTGGGTCTGCAGTAATGATTTCCTATTGTCTTCTCTGCAAGGCTCACCATATCCCCCCTTTCTTCTAGGCTTACTTCTCCTGCCTTGCACCACATCCCTCTTCACAGTGCCTTGGTTAAGTGGAAAAACAACTTGCCTTTCGCCTGTGCTCTCAAATGCTGAAGCAGGGAAATCAGCTATGTGCAGAGATTCCTTCTGCCTGGGATTTGAGTGCTCTCTCTCTCAGGATGTATAATATTAAAGCTCTCTGTATACTTCCTCAGGGAAAGCCACATTTCTCCTTTAACATTTCCTTACCTGCACCCTGGCTGTTCTGGCAGGAGGTGTTTTCTATGGGGACATGCCAGGTTGTGAAGGATGTTTTTAGACTTCTTTGGCACGTTTGCTTTCTCTTTTCCTCTGCTTTCAGAAATGTCACCAGCCCTGCACTGCTGTCAGAAACATTATTTAGTTTGAATCCTGCTGAGACTCAACACCTCCAGGCAGAGGTGGCACCAAGTTATCTTCTTTCCATCACAGGCCAGAAGGGCTTGGCTTGGCTTCACTCTGACACCTCGATGTCTGAATCTGTAGTTCAGATTATTTCCTGACTCAGGATGAAGTTATACTGGGTGTGAATTACAGCAGAAAGTACCCAGAAGACTTCAGGCTGGAATGAATAATATTCTCTCTGTGCTTTGATTTAAAACAGCCTAATGGGCTGCTTTCAACTTTTTATGGCTAATGTAGCATCGTTGTAGCTGGCCAATATGACTGGGACATGCAGGGAGCCCTCTCCTGAGTAACTGGGGTGCCTGTAGCAGAACTGGTGCCTTTTCTCTAGACTAGCAGAGGGGTTTTGTTATCTTTAGAGTAAGCTTTGCCTAAGAAGCCTGGCTCCCTAATGCTGCCCTGCTATATTTAGACCCTCTTCTGGTGTGCCCACCCAGTGCTGTTCCCCTTGTTTGTTTCCTACCAAACAATGAGACCTGAAAGAATTGCTTGGAAAGGGGCCAATGCTCTTGCAAATGAAACTGTCAGGCAGCCAAGCTCTGCAACGGCCCCTTGTAACATACTGTACTGGGAAATGGGAAGCAATTGTCCCTCCTGCTTCAACCTCCAGCTTGGGCTTTTTCCCCATGCTAAGAGCCCTGCGGCATGGCCCTGCCCCAGGGACTGACTTTGAAGAGGTGTCAGAAGACATGGAGGCAGTGCCAAGAGGCAACAGATCAGGATGGCAAGGAGCAATGTAAGATCTGCTCTCTGTTCTCCCTCACCCCTAATCCTGTATTCCTGCCAGAGCGTGTTTTAGCAGCAGGTTGTTCCTGGAAAGCCTTTGCTATCTGCCCTGATTGTAGTAGAAGTTGCTCATGTACATATAGGGTTGCAGGTGCGGTCAGATGCCCTTCTCACTCACCCCGTGTTTCTTTGCTGTGCTTTTGTGGTGTTTGGCTACCACTTTCTACAACATCAGCACTGTAGAAGGAGAGAAAAAGCGGCCCCAGCCCTAATGGTGTGCAGAGCAGGGGCTGCATTAAGATTCCTTTTACTTCTTTAACACAAATGGAGCTAAAGGGAAAAACAGAGGAGGAGGGGGAAACAAAAATCCAACCACACAAACAAAAAGCCAACAGGGAGAACTGGGAATAAACAGACTTCTTAAAGACAGAGGGGTCTGCCTGATCCACAGCAGCCTAAATGATGAGAGCCTGGAGATCACAGTTTTGCATCCAACTCTGTTGCTTCTTTTGGCCTCCAGAGCCGAACCCTCCATCGCCAGAAAAGGAAGTGTATCCCTGAGGGATATTCCAGGAACATCCTTCGGTTAGATCTGTTTTGGGTTTTCCTTTAGGCCCATAAGTCAGAGCTTGCAAAAAAACCCCTCCAAAATAATAGATGTCAACATTTCCAGCCAGGGAAGAAAGGTGCTGAGTACCAGAATCAGAGCAAAATTTAGGGCAAGAGAAACAACAGCTAAAACACATCTGCCCAAACCACATCTGCTCATCCTGACTGAGAAGAGGGGTATAAATCTCTAAGGAGAACAGGGGAAGTACATGTACCCCCCAGTGCCAGTATGACACTCTCACTCCACTGACTGCCACATACAGACTGTTCTCTGGCAAGTTTAAGAGACGCTGGGAAGAATCCAGTGGTTTGAGTTACAGTTTTTGGTAATGATATCAAGTATTTGCAACTTGAAAATGGAACCAACTTTTAAGAACAGCTTAGGAGAACGCATGCTGGCAGGAAAAATGCACTGGGGGGAGAAATAAGTAGATAGTATTTTGACGCCATGGGCACGCAGCACTGATTCACAGGCACTGTAGGACAGCAGTCTTAGGCAGAAACCGTAGATGAGTGGAGGGTACAGGGAGTGCCTCAAGTGTTGTGGCAGGTAAATCAGGTAAAAGGGAGGAATTAATGCAGCAAGGGAAGGCTGCATTTCAGACTGAGCCCTAGCAGGCAGGGTCTATAAGATACAGTAAGCAGGACCCTGCACTGTTGCACTTTAACGTATCACTTGAGTAACTCAAAAGGTCACTAATAAAACTGAAGGAGGCAACTTGGGATGGCCCTTGTCATAGGAAATAAGACAGTTTCATGGTCATTGGGTTTTCTGCTTTGTAATACTATTGCAAGACATAGCAACTGTCTGAAAGTCCCAGCTCCTGGATCAGGGGTTGTCCTTGTAAGACTCACAGCTTTCACTATAAACTAGCACCAGAAAAAGCTACAACCTTCATTAGTGTAGAGGGAACTTTTAAAGATGCAGCCCCTAAAAGCTTGGAAAAACTGAAATGGCAGGCTGAAAAACAAAGGCCTGTCTCTATAGCAGCTCCTGATGTGGTGCACGCAGGCTGGCTGAGAAATCTGGGATCCTTTGGCTTCATGCTGCAATAATATAGGGGGTTATTTCATGCTTGCTGTTTATTGCAGAACACAGATCCACTGTGCTCAGTGACTAAAGATCATTTGTGGAGCTTTAATAGTCAACAGGAAATTATATTCTCGTTTTGCCAAATCACTTTATCATGATGCCATTATGAAAAGACTGTTCATCTATTTTAGTGGTTGCTTAGGAGATGTGAGAGGGATTGGCCTGCAGCCACTTCCCTCTTCTGACTCTCCCCAAGATAGCGCTGCAGCCCCTTATCTATAGAGAAACCCACTGGGAGACTGCTTGAACGGCCAAGGAGATTTCACACATGGGTTTCTTTTGTGGCCAGGTGGAGGAAGTCCTGAGCTCCAGCTGAACAGGAAAGAGAAGAGCTTACCAGCAGGCAGGAGCAGGGGAAGAAGAAGGTGGATGAATGACACACTGAGAAGCTCAGGGATGGCAAGGAAACGGCTGCTGAGGTGATGCTGATTCTCTGAGGAAACCTGCCTTTGATGGTCCATGGTTGGACCCTGCTCTGGAGGAGCCAGAACCATTTAAAACATTATGGGTTTGGCCTTTAAGTGGAATGGATCTTCCTTTTAGAAAGCAAAGCTGCCCAAAAATACATGGATTTTTGACACAGTGTATTAAACGCCTGATCTCACACCAGCGAAGTGAGGCGCGTCACCAGTGCAAAGTCTAGGAGAAGTTTGCTGAAGCCCAAAAGCTCCATTCCTTACAATTTGCAGCCTTTTCTGGCTATTCTAGGAGGGTTTGTTCCGTTTATTCATTATTAGTATTTTTTGATTCGATACCTAATGTTCTGATCAGCACTACACAGTTCATAGCAAGCTGGAAAACCAAGGAAGACTTGATTTTCCTCTTTGGTCTCACTCTAAATGAGGCTTGAAAGGCTGAGATCCATTAGTTCTAAAACCTCGTAAGACATATTGACCAAAAAGAAACAATTCAATTCACTACCTACAGATAATATGTCCTTTCCTTGCCTAATCAGTTTTGATCAACTTGCCTTGTATATCCTGCACAGCTACTGTGTGGCTTCATTATCTAATAAAAAGCAGAATTAAAACGCTGGCTTTCTGCATCTTAATTGAATTCCAATTCTCATCCCAAAATAGCTTGACACAAATCAAAGGGGAGCAAAAAATAATTATCATGTAAATAAGCAAAGCCATTCACTATTTTCTAACATAACTAAATGCAAATTATGGATCTGAATAATTGTGAGCGATTAGATTGTTCTATTTACATGTGCAGAGAGCCCAGGCTAGCAAAAACTTACCAAATTTAGCGGAAGGGCTATATTTAGTTTCAAATCAGGATGCTTCAATTCCCAGCTAACAGGAAGCAACCTTTTTAGTTTTGTTTAGTTTTGTTTTCTGGTAATTTTGAGGGGGTTTTGGAAATAACTACAAATATGAAGCATAATTAAAATAGATTACTCCAATCATCTTTTTTCTTTTTTTTCCTTGCTATTTGGTATTTTTAAATCACTCCATCTTGAATAGACATTTATCACACATCAGTCTTGTGGAAACTTCAGAAATGCTTTTCTAAGATACCTCAGGTCTTGCCAACTCACATTTGTCTCCCTTTGTAAACTATCTAGGCTACCCACAAAGGAGTTTGAGCTGGATCATCTCTTTAGGTTAACCTTTGCAGTAAGTAACACAGTTTCTAATGTGTTTGCTGGTTTCTTCATGGCCAGAGCAGAAGCAGATAGTGGAGACCCTCAACTCGTAGTATGTGTATAGTAGCCTGCAAACAAAAGGGAAACAAACAATGAAACAACATTGTTTCTGTTCACCACGGTCTAACAGTACCTACTGCTTATTACAGGCATGCGAAATCACAGTCACTCAGTACCTGAGGGTTATAAACATGTTTTGAACTCGTTGCTTTGAAGTGCCACTGCATCTGAGCACAGCTGTTGTGTCAGGGTTACTCAGGCGCCACATTTCCAGAGGACCTTGGAGCCTCTGTCACCCATATCAGACCTCTTGCTCTGCCCTTTCCTGGTACACCGCTTCCCCTCTTCTGGATTTTCACGCCATCCTTGGGTTCCCAGAACCCATTTGTAGGCTGCAGAACAATAGCAGTTGCTGCAAACATGAAATGGGAGAAAATAAAACATCTTGGTAAAGCACTCACACACTGGGAGTAGGGTATAAAAAATCAGAAGTGACAGCTCAGCTTGGGGGCCCCAGGATCTATGGACTGTGGATAAAAACCACTTCAGTTTCTCTTCTGGAGTCTTACCTCTTGTTCTGTCCCTGAAAAATGCCAATAAGGAGACAGATCCTCTTTGTCATCCCTCCTAGGAAATACGCTCCTCCTGTGCCGATATCATCATACCTTCTATTACTTGTGACATATTCTGGATCCTTCTCCCTCCTTTTATTTGGCTCCTGGAGCTCAGAGAATAATTGTTTATTCAGCAAATCTTGCTTCTTTTCCCATTTTTGGAGCATCCCGAAGCAGATTGACATTTCCTCGGGTTCTTTATTGTTATCTGGCAAGTTCTTTGCAGTTTCTTCCTCTCCTCCGTGGATTTACTGTGAACTCCGAGGGAGGTACTTGGCTCGTTATGGTTTCAGGCATACAGTCCAGTTGTGATGAGTGAGACTGTACAGCTTGAGAAAAATCAAGAGCATGCCGATGTCTGACTGCAAGAAGATCATCATTGTTATTTTAAGTCACTATTGTTACCTTTACAGCTGTATCTTTCACTTAAGAGAAGTGAACATGAAAGAAGGACCAGAAAGGAGTTCATTTAAATACAGGACTACAGGCCATCAAACGGAAACAACTTTCTCATTATATTCAGAACAGGGTATAGCCTCTGGTATAAAACTCAGCGAGAGAAATGATGACTGAGAAATGATATTGTCAAGCTGCCCACAGCTGCTTCATTTCATTGCTATCCTGGGGCACCCTGGTGTTTGCCATGTCCCCATCCCAGCCCCTACCAGCTTATAGAAGGTGACTGTGAAAGGCAAGCAGAGCAGGTAGTCACACAGGAAAGAAACAAAAGGACCCTACCTTTAAACACCCTCTAAGTGTGGGTTGCCACAGTAAGGAAATCCCACGAAAGGCTGTCCTGACGTTGGTACGGTATGAAGGAGGGCTCTCAAAGGGAAGTGCTTGTCTTGGCTGACCTCCGGCACTGTGTGCTGGCCACACCTTGCTCTAATGAGAGGGTTGGTGGAAAGCACGGATTTGCTGCAGGCTCCCGTAATCCCTGAGCTCCTTCATTTACCTTTCCAGTGAGAGGCAGGGAATTGAGAGGAATAGCAACAGTTCCTTTGAACAGGCACTGCCTGAGAGCCAGAGTACTATGGGGAAAAAGAGGAAAACAAGGGAACTAGGGAACTCCACCCTTTTACCACAGAAACATCACAACCACATCCCAAACCCCAGCTAGCTGCAGCGTCCTTCCTCGCATGGAGAAGCAAGGCAGAAAGGAAGCCAGGAGAAGTGGGATGTACGGAGACTCGGAGATATTTTTAAACGTGCTGGAGGTCTGGTTGCATAGCTCTGGCTTGGTTTTGTTGGCGCAAGGCCTTTTCTCCCCTGGTTTTGATAGATCACACTTGCTGAGGAGGCCCTGCTTGTGTGTCCAGATGAAATGTTCTGGCTGATGAGGGGACGAGTAACCAGACCCAGCAGCTTTTCTAACCACACTCATTCTGCAGCCTGCTTGGTTAAGGAAACCCTTCTCTCCACCCTGCTGCTCTGTGCACAGAAGCAGGACTGCCAGAGAAGACCTGCTGTGATCCTTCAGACAGTGTCTGAATGGGTTTGACTGAAGGACTTCAAGGCAAGGCATCCTTTCCTTCCCACACAACAGCCAGAGCCTCCATTCCCTGTGCAGGATGCAGAAGAACACCATGCTATGTTCAACAGACCCTCTGTCCTCACAGAGATGTGCCTCAAGGCCTCTTACCAGCTTGGAAGAGGACCACAGGAGGAGGGAACTGAGGAGGACCCAGTAGGACACATGAGCCATGACTAAACACTGTTTGCACACTGAGCATATGTGGAGGATGGACAGGGAAAGGATTGTGGCTGTATGCAAGGAGGAACCTTGGGTGCCTTATGCCTTTCAGAAGTGTAAAGCACCATTGCCAAATAAGATGGTTACAATAAGGTGATGAAATCCTCCTGATTAAGCTGTGGAGGGAGCACACGCCTGTGCTGGCTCTGCATCCAGAGTACTTGGTCACCCTCATCATTCCATCACTGGAGATGATGATGAAGAACTACAGGGAGGAGAAGCCCAACCACTTCCTCAACACAAGAGAGGGCTGAGCTGGCTCTCAGCCCATGTCATGCTGTGGTGATGTGGTATGTTGTGGTGATGTGGGACATCCTGTGACACAGCCTGTGACAAAGCCAAGATTAAAAATGCTAGTGAAGAAGAGTCTTGGTGTGTTTGGTTTTGGTAGAAACAGGAAGGATGCGGGTGAGGCTAAAAAGAGCCCAAGCAGTGTCCTTTCAAAAGCCTAAAGTAACAAACTATGTATTCTCCTACATATGGTAAAGGCAAGATCCCATCCTTTACCTAATAGCTTTCATAGAAGAGGCATTTAGTTAGATGCCTCATTCCTGAGAAGGAACTCTATTTGGGTGGTAACAGAGCTAGAGGGGGTGGAACTGGATGATCTGAAGGTTGTTTCCTACCCAAACCATTCTGTGATTCTATGATTTAACCACAAAGGTGATGAAGAGAAGCATGCATCTGAGAAATCAAACACGTGGAAGGCAGTGAGTTCAAACCTGGCCAGAATAACAGTGACACAGACCTTTCCTGAGGAAGGAAACACAGGACTTCCAATAAACACCCTTTGTTAGGGGCTTCAGTGTTCAGCTTACCCAAAAGTGAGCACCTCCACCACTTCCAAACTAAGCCATCCAAATGAATCAGCTGCTCTTGTGGGTTTTGTTGCATGCAGAGGGATCCTTGATCCGAATGTTGCTCGTGACTTCTGTGTTTCACATCCAAGTGCTGCTAGAGCTGCAGTCCTAAAGGCTCCTCACCTTTTTGCCTTCCTGATTTTGGCTTTAAAGCAACTCAAACTGTCCAAGAGGGAACAGAGAAATTATATAGCCTCTGTTGCTCATAAGTGAACTGCTTCTCTATGGACCTGTATTAATTGCTTCTTTCACTAATGGTGTGACCAGGTAGATTTGGGTTTTGAACAAAATCACGGTTAGTAGCTGTTAATAAATCCCTATGGACAAAGTAGCCCTTTAGAGATCCCGGCGCCAGCCGTAGCTAAAGCCCTTTAAACCCATGTCAATCGTTTTCCTGCGAGAGAAAGGTTAAAGTCTGCCCTGACGCTGTTTCTGAGATGGCTGCAGCATCACCAGCACGTCGGGGCCTCCGCGCTGGAGGCATTTGTGGGATTTGGGACAGTTTGACATCTAGTGGTAACGTGTGGTATAATCCCAGAGCTCGCATAGCGAGTGCAAGGGTCACAGCCCCGCATCTGGCCAGCTGAGGGAGGAGGATCCCTCCATCCGCAAAGGACAGACCTGTAAGCTGCACGTACAGCCGCACAGCTTGGTGTTGTGCATCTCATCCTCCAGTGGCATTTGGCTAAGGGAGACAAAGAGTTAAGAGGTAAGACCAGGTCATATTTCATCCAGAGAAGCAATATATTTCAAGATTAGAGTTTTTATCTCTCTGCTTAGGGTCTCTTAGATCATTATACACGCTTTTACCATGCTAACGAAGCAATAGCAGAAGGGTCTTAACCCAATCAAAGCAACTGAAGATGCCCAAAGGGTTAATTCTGAAGTCTGCTAGGAGCCTGAGTTCAAAGAAATTGGGGATATTTCAGCTTCAGGTTTGATTGGTGCCATTTCTGATTGCAACCAGGAGAGTCTTGTGGAGCTGATCTGCTGCTAGGAACTGAATAATGAATGCACAGAGAGAGCTTTCTTTATTAAAAGAATATGTAGGGAAGAGCAAAATGATTGAGGAGACGTGAGCCCAACCTAACGCAGCCCAACCTAACACTGCTGGAGGGTGACAGAGATTGGAATCTTTTTTCCTTCTCCACATTTCCTACAATCGGAATGGGAAAGAATCATTGTCCCTTCAGAAACATGATTTTAGGCCAACCTACGTTCAAAATCTCACAGGGAAATGGAATAGTCTCAAGAAGTTTGGCCAGTTTCTAGCTCTAAGAAGCTTCACTTGGACTGCAAGGGTGAGCAGCAACTGTGAACTTGCAAGATCTGCTTCTTACCTGTGCAGATAGATAGTGATCTGGCAATTGCTCTATCTGCCTGGAAAGATTAGATTAATTATGTCTACAGGGATTAGTAACAATTTACCAGGGATGAATTTGACCAAATGTGTACATATGCCTAAATGAACAGAATAAATGTGAATTTGAACTTATATTAAGAGTTCTGGAGAATTTAGGGCAATTGTTTTCTTCCTATTTATTTTTAGAGAGAGGAAATAAAAATAATGCTTAAATCAGAATAGTAGTTATGGGTCAGAGCTCATGGAATCACATCCCCTGTCCTCCAGATGTTGCAGAGTAGAGAGACTCCATTCACCTTTCCTCTCTGGGAAGCAACCCCTTTTTCTACGTGCATTAAGGCAGGGGGTAGTGCCCAGGCTCTGTAGTATCATTCTGTGAACTTCATGCACTATAGTGCAGACCACATTTCAAGTCCACTCTCTGGTGCAATAAGATGATGTTTGCTCTCTGGGGAGCAATTTCTCGGTCTCCAGAGTGTGTTGAAGTGCGCAGTTTGAACCCCCTCCTAGGATGTAGCACAGCTGGTCAGCTGCAAATTGCCTTTTCAGGCTTTTGCTGGTGGAAAAAAAAACATGATCTGTGAGTGTCCAGTGGATACATATGGGAATGTTCAATTGAAAAGGCCAAAAGCTTTGGCCTGCTTTATCAACCTGCCTGCTTGGAAGCATTCCTCTGTTTAGTAAATAATTCAGGCAAAGGGCTTGGCTGGCTGAAGAGGAAGGATGACTTGGTTTCCCCTGGCAGGTGGACGTGAACCAGGCTTCTCCTCTAAGTCTCCAGGTTGCAGAAGTCTCCAGGCACAAAATGTGGAAAGGAGCAAGAAGCATCAGTGAGCACTGGTTTGTGGGAAGGGAAATTTCCTACTTGCCCTGTTCTCGTTCTGTCCCATGACCCATTCACACAGCATAAACAGCCACAGGTAAGACTAAGTCAAGGCTTCAGACCTTGTTCACAGTCCTGTTACACACTTCACAGCTGCTTGCTTCCTCAGCCAGATGAGCTGGTGTGGTTTCCATGATGAGACCCTTCATTCTAATGAGAGATACAGAGCATACTCTCCCAGCATGGAGCAGAAAAAACCTGCACAAGCTATTCCCTAAAAGCATTTCACTTTCTTCTCTTTATCACCAGATTTCTATCTTCTTTTTACTCATTCTGTTTTAACCCAGCTGCAGTCAAGAACTCCCGAGGGCAGGAGCTGTGCTATATCTATCTGCCACAAACATCGGTGGCACAAGACAAAACATAATAGTGTAGCCTGTAGAAACCAGGCACTACTGCAGAAAGAGGAGGAAATCTAGCAGGAACAGGAGATCCAGGGCAAAAGGATCAGCATTTTGGCCAGTGGC